CCCCCCGTCGACCCGGCCCGGTCGGCCCCCCGCGCAGGAGGCCGCAAACTCCGCTCAGCGCCGCCCTCTGCATCCCCGCTCCCTGCCGGGGCCGGCCGCCGCGGCGCGCACGTTATACGTCACACATCGCGCAGCCTCGAGGCGCCGGCGTCAGCAGCCAGCCCCAGGGCGCGTGCGCAAGGGGTGCCCCGCCCGCGCCGCCTCCTCCGCCGGCCGATCACGTCGGCGCCGTAAACCCTCGCGGAGCCGATTGGCCGTCGCAGAGGGTGACGACAGAAGGCAATGGCAGGGAGGCGGGGGAAGGAGCGAGCCGTTTCATTGGCTGCTGGAGCAGGGAGGGCGGGACAACCCTGCCCCCCCCATACCTCCAGCCCATGCCCCGCCCACCTGGGGAACCCAGGAGTCCTGCCTCCCCTCCCCCAGCCAGGAATGGAACCCAGGCGTCCTGAGTCCCTATCCTCGAGCCTGCGCTCTCCCCTTCCTTACCAGTACACCATAGAACGGGAAGAGGCAGCAAAGCAAAGCCCCTACTGCGCTGGGGGCCAATTGCTCATTGCCCTGTTGGATTCGTATCGGCCCCGTGTAACACACTCAGGCTGCCTGCAGGGTGCAGAGCAGAAGCCAGGGACCTTTCCCAACCGGTGCAAGTCCTCTCGCCTCTTCCCGTGATCCTTCTGACAAAACCCCTCTACTATACCTACAGACATGCCTGTTTAATGGAGCCCCAAGGCTTTCTCCTGGAAGGGAACATTTCCATGTAGTTACGAGGTAGGTATCAGCACTTGGAAAGCAGCCAGCGGTATATTCACAGCCCCTGCTGGGTAAAAGTGAAGGGTGTACACATGGGTAGCTGACACACTGATCAGCAGCCAAGGAAGTGCCACTCCCTCCCTCCTCCGCAGAAAGGGGCTGTGCCTGGGCAGAGGCCGAGGGTGGTTCCCACAGCATGTGCAGCCTCTAGCACCTGCAACATTTAAGATGCGGAGCGCCCACACATCCATTTCTACTTAAATAAAACCCAAGGGAAAGCCTTCATTACCTTTTGAGAGAAGGTATGTGTCCTGCACATAAGCAGAACTGCACTGCCATCTAGAGGTCCACAGCCTAACCCAAGACAGGGTGCAGGTGTACAAAATAGTTTGTAGTCATTTACAGTTTGATTTTAACTCTTTTTTTCCCCCTTCACAATTCCCAAGGAGAAGTGACACATGAAATCCATCTTTAATTCAAATATGACAAGTTATGAAAAAAATATAGTTAGCCAAATTATAGGAACAAGGCACTATGGTGTCTCTTAAGGGACATTTAATGCTCTTGATGGTTGCTTCAAGTCACTTGGCCTGCTTCCGTGGCAGAAGACCTTTTGGCTTGGAAGGCCAGGGTTCCAGGGATGGGCCTAAAACAGCCATCCTCTTAAAGATCTTTGCTTTTAGAACTTCCACTGACATCAAGAAACGCTGTCTCCAGGTCTGGGGAAAAGCTAAAACCCAGCTTCTCTCCCCAGGTTGGAGGGTGGTGGTGGTAACATCTTGGGTCCACATTGCTGGCAGAAAGGAGGAATCTGCCTCAATTCCACACTGCGTGCTCCATTTTGACTGCTGGTGGCTCACTCAGTTGGGATCATAGCTCTCAGTTTGGAAAAGCCAAAGGCCATGTTGGGTCTGTCCCTTTCCAGCCAGGGAGAAAAGTCTGCCCTAACCTCAGCTATTCTGCTTGCTGGTGACTCTATAGATGTTAATGTTCTCATTTTCATCCCTATAGGCCAGTTCTGAAGTGAAGTGCAGCGGGAGCAGCGCCTCGTAGAACACAGCCGTGCTGTGCTCCTGCCGCATTTTGGAAGACAGGTAAATGGTTGAATGAGGGCCACAGAGGTGCCGGAGGGTCCTGATGAGCAAGGGGAACGTGTCTTTCAGATAGACTATGTCTGCACCCAGGATGAAGTCGTAGTCTCTCAGGAACTCCTTGTGGTCCAGACCCCAAGACAGAGCACAAACTCTGGCCCGAGCCAAATGCTCTGCAGGCACATTCCTATGGACGTTCTCCTGTATCTGCTCCAAAGCCAGAGGGAGATCTGTGATGGTTACATCTCCTCCTGGAAAAGACAAGAGCAACCCAGAAGGCATGGAGGTTGGTTAGGAGGAGAATCCAACCCTCCCAGTACGCATTATCCACATGTTGCAGGATTTTCATTGGCTTCCTGGATCCATGACCATGCAACAGATCCATATTTCCCATCCCCAGGCTGGCTATACATACCAGCTAATGCAGGGCTAGGGGGAGGTCGAGCACACTGAGCCGGCAGCTGCCCTCCTCTTTAACCTACAGGCTGTACTAAATAGGGGAACAGCTGTTCTCTTTGCCACGCTGTAAGCAGATGAGGCCCTTGGACTTTCACTAAGCTGCTGATGCCATCTTGAGATGAGCAAAGTTAGGCACACCTGCGAACTGTCGCCAGCAGGCCAGTTACAAAACCTCAACAGGTCTCTCTGTACAGCGCGTCCACATCAGGTCCCATTTAGGTAGTTAGACACTATGGTGATAGGTAGATTAGAAATGTCACAGGTCAGATGCATGACTGCCCCCCTGCTCTCCCAATGTTTCAGCTCCGCTGTGAAGCAACGGTACATACCGAGCAGGGTGGCAAGGATGCCCACGATGCCTGTCCCAGCGCCCAGCTCAATCACCTTCTTGCCCCAGAAGTTGAGCTTCTGCTTCTCAAAATATTTACACAGGGTTAGAGCCTTCGGTGCAGAGATGAGAAGAGCAGACGGACAGGTGGAGAATGAGGCCATCCGGTGATATACAGGACAGGAAAACAAAAGCATAAGGGAGACAGATCCTCCTGCACTGACTCTTAATTGGCAGATTTAGGGAGAAACTTCCCCTCCAGGCTGGTTATTTCTTAATGACCTGTTACAGGGCATCTTGCACCTGTCTTTGAAGTACTGGCCACTGACAAAGATGGGATTCTGAATTAGATGGGCCACGGGTCTGATCTTCCACGGAAGCTCCTAAAATGGATGGGATTTGCAGCTAGAGAACAAGTGAGAGGCTACAGCTTCCCAAGGCCAGGGACATCTCCTGAGCTGCACAGAGAGCCCCCACCTTATCTGATGAACCAGCCACTCCCCGTGAATGGAGCACCAAGACACCCTACAGGCACTGGGGGGGGGGACACACCACTTTGTACACATCCACCAGCAGCCGCAGCTCCATGTGCTGTGGGATGCCCCAGCCCCAGAGCTCAAAGGTTTCCAGCCAACTCCCAAGTTCCAGCTCTCCCCACCTCCTTGCCAAACATCCTAACTTTCCCCACTCCGCCCCTGCTCTCACCACCTCCAAGACAGCCCTCCCCAGACCCTCCTAATCTCCCAGCTAATCCCCCCACCGCCCTGTACTTTAGGGCATCCATCCCTCCACTGCATCCATCCCCAATCGCACCCCCCCATTTCAACCCCTGCACCCATCCCAACCCCCCCCCGGTACCTAACCCCCCCTTTTCACCCCCCTGCACCCAACCCCTCCCCCATTTCACACACACACCCCTCCACCGGGCTCCTCTGCACCCTGACCCTCACCGCCTCCCAGACGGGCGCTGCCACCCCGAGCCGAGCCCCGTGGTGCTGGGCGATGGTTAACACGTGGCCGCAGAAGCCGTAGCGGGTCTCCTCGGGGAAGGCGTCAGCGAAGAGCCCGACGTCCCGGGGGAACACGGCCTCCAGCCCCTCGGGGGCGGCCTCCGGCGGCTCCCGGGCAGCCACCGCCCCGCCGAACTCCACGTGGCAGGAAGGCGGCTGCCTGGACGCAGCCATCTTGAGGCGCCCCCGCCCCCTGATTGGATGGGCGGGGCCAACCTGCTGCTCCCATTGGAGGATGGGCGGGGGGGGGCGGAGCCTAGCCCTGCTCACCTGGGGCAGGTAAGTGCTCCATCATGGGCTGCTGTTCCGAGGCATTTGTTTCCATGGGGCGTCATCCTTAGCATCCAAAGTGACTTGGGGCATGGGAGGGCCGAGCCCGGCCAGCCCCACTGCCCAGAGAAGGCAGCTGAGCTGGGCCACAAAGAGGGGAAGGGCCCCTGCGAAATTAGCATCCACTTATTATTAATTATTATCAGGGTAGCGACAAGGAGACACAGACCAGGCCCCCACTGGGTACAAACACGGACCAAAAGACGCTCTTTTCCCCGGAGAGTTTACAATCTCTTTTCCATCAGCTGCACGGTCAGCCCTGAATGCTCAGAAATCATCAGTCAGCCCGCCCCCCCCGCTCCCCCAAATCATATTGGCAGACAGGTGTTTGTCTAACCTGCTGTTAAAAATCTCCCCCAAAATCATGCTATTGGCAGACAGGTGTTCACAGGGCCGGTGCAAGGAAGTTTCGCACCCTAGGTGAAACTTCCACCTTGCGCCCCCCCCCCCAGCTAACCCCCTTCCCCGCGGCAGCTAACCCAGCCCCCCACCTGGGGAGCCTGCCACCCCCCCACCCAGGAAGCCCCCCCCCGCAGCAGCTACCCCCCTCTGCGGCAGCTAACCCCGCTCGGGGAGACTCCCCCCCTGCGGCAGTTAACCCCGCCCAGGGAACCCCCCGCGGCAGCTAACCCTGCCAGGGGAGCCTGCCCCCCAGCTCACCTTGGCTCCGCCTCCTCCGCTGAGCATGCCGACGCCGCTTTAATTCTCCTCCCCTCACAGGCTTGCGGCGCCGATTAGAGGAGACTTAGAGCGGGGGGGGGGTGCTCAGCGGAGGAGGAGAGTGGAGGTGATCTGCGGCGGGGAGCGGTTCCCCTGTGCGCCCCCCCGTTACTGCGGGCGGCCCTCCCCGCGCACCCCCCCTCCCCGCCTCAGCTCACCTCCACTCCACCTCCTCGCCTGAGCCGGCTTTTAGGCGCCCCCAACCACTAAGCGCCCTGGGCGGCCGCCTAGTTTGCCTAAATGGTTGCACCGGCCCTGGGTGTTCGTCTAACCTGCTCTTAAAAATCTCCAATGATGGAGATTCCACAACTTCCCTAGGCAATTTATTCCAGTGTTTAACCATCCTGACAGGAAGTTTTTCCTAATGGCCAACCTAAACCTCCCTTGCTGTAATTTAAGCCCATTGCGTCTTGTCCTAGCCTCAAAGGTTAAGAAGAGCATTTTTTCTCCCTCCTCCTCGTAACAACTTTTTATGTACTTGAAAACTGTGATCATGTCCCCCCTCAGTCTTCTCTTTTCCAGACTAAACAAACCGAATTTTTTCAATCTTCCCTCACTGGTCATGTTTTCTAGACCTTTAATCATTTTTGTTGCTCTTCTCTGGTCTTTCTCCAGTTTGTCCACATCTTTCCTGAAATATGGTGCCCAGAACTGGACACAATACTCCAGTTGAGGCCTAATCAGCACGGAGTAGAGCGGGAGAATGACTTTTCGTGTCTTGCTTACGACACTCCTGCTAATACACCCAGAATGATGTTTGCTTTTTTTGCAACAGAGTTATACTGTTGACGCATGTTTAGCTTGTGATCCACTATGAGCCCCAGATCCTTTTCCGTAGTACTCCTTCCTAGACAGTCATTTCCCATTTTGTATGTGTGCAACTGATTGTTCCTTCCTAAGTGGAGCACTTTGCATTTGTCCTTATTGAATTTCATCCTGTTTACTTCAGACCATTTCTCCAGTTTGTCCAGATCATGTTGAATTATAATCCTATCCTCTAAAGCAGTAGTTCTCAACTGGGGGTCTGGGGCCCCCTACGGTGCCTCAAGCAGGTTTCAGGGGGGCCTCCAAGCAGGGCCAGCATTAGACTTGCTGGGCCCTAGGGCAGAAAGCCAAAGCTCCACCACATGGGGCTGAAGTCCTGGTCCCTGAGCCCCGTCACCCAGGGTGAAGCTGAAGCCTGAGCAATGTAGCTTCGTGGAGGCCCCTGTGGCATGGGGGGGGGGGACAGGCAATTGCCCTGCTTGCTACCCCCCTAATACCGGCCCTGGCTTTTATATGCAGAAAACCAGTTATAGTGGCACAAGTGGGCCGTGGAGTTTTTATAGCATGGTGGGAGGGCCTCAGAAAGCAAAAGGTTGAGAACCTCTGCTCCAAAGCACTTGCAACCCCTCCCAGGTTGGTATTGTCCGCAAACATTATAAATGTACTTGCTATGCCATTATCTAGATCATTGATGAAGATATTGAACAGAACCGGACCCAGAACTGATCCCTGCGGGACCCCCACTCATTATGCCCTTCCAGCATGACTGTGAACCACTGACAACTACTCTCTGGGAACGGTTTCCTACCAGTTATGCACCCACCTTATAGTAGCTCCATCATAGGGTTACCATATTTTGAGTGTCCAAAAAGAGGACACTCCACGGGGCCCAGGCCCCGCCCCCAGCCCCGCCCATGCCCCCCCGCCCCAACTCCACCCCTTCCCCCAAGTCCCCGCTCCTTCCCCCAGTGAAAGCTGAATGTCTCCTGCAATCTCTTGATTCCAGCAGCTGGAATTTTAAGCCCAACACCAAGTCTCGTGAGACTCGTGATTACATTGCAAGAGTGGGCAACGCCTCACCTGCAATTGCGTTAGAGGCGTGAGTGCGCCGATTGGCCCCGGATGTTCAGTTTGCGGGGGCCAAAATGCTTGTGTAAATAGCACCTGCGAAGAAATGGGGAGGGTGGGGAGGCCATCCTTTTGAATGGTTCCCTTAAACGCAGGGCGTCCGTAGCAGCACCAGGAACAGAGCCCCAATCTCCCGATCCCACTCTACTGCCCAATGCACCAGACCTCCTACCTTTCTCATGCAGCAGAGACAAAGAGGGAGGCAAGATTGTTTTTGCCCTGTGTGACGGAGCAGGGAGCAGGGCAGATTTGACCTGGGAA